CAGCAATGGCATCCTAAGCAATTCTGTGGCAGGCACATCATTTTTTTATAGAGAGAGAGAGAGAGAGAGAGAGAGAGAGAGAGAGAGAGAGAGAGAGAGAGAGGGGGGTAGAGAGAATTGCAAAAAGGCAGTTCTTTCCTTCTACCATGTGGGTCCTGGAGATCAAACTTGGGCCAGTAAGCTTGTCGGCAAGAGCACTAACCTGCTGAGCCATCTTGCTGGCCCTACATCATTCTTTCAAAATAAAAGTGTGTTCATGTCATTACACTCCAACGGTTTATCACACTTGGAATTAAAGCCAAATTCTTCCATTCCTTTGAGTCCTGTCCATACCTCACTGACCTATGTCACAGTTCTCCCTCAGCTCACCAGGCCATTATAGACCCTTGGGTGCTCCTCAACTAATGCCCAGGTACTAGACCCCCCCCACACACACACACTTGCTGTGCTTCCTATCTGGAAATCTCCCCCCAAACACCTTGAGAATTTCTTTCATTTGATTCAAGTGTTTGCTGAACTGTTATCTCATTAGTGGACTTTACTAATCTGAAAATACCACCTTTGTGGTATTTCCAACACTTCCTAGCCTTTTATGTTGGTCTACTTTTTCCTTATGTTAGGGGATGTCACTCAATTGCTTATTGACTGCCTTACCTTGCCCAGGCTAATTACAATTGCATCTGGATTCTCTGCTCCCTGCTCATCCCAAGGGTCTAGGCACATACTAGGTTGCTCAGTGAACTTGGGTTGAATGGATGGATTTTAAATGAACACATTCTGTGTGTTTTCATGTGCCAGGGCTCTGTACCAGGCTTTAGGATAAAAATGTGAATGATGAACATGGGCCTTGTTTTCTCCTTTAAGGAACTTTTAAAAATCTAGCAGTGAAGGAAACACACAAACTGACAGAAAGGAAAGTGACACAACCTTAAGAAAAGTCACAGTTGAAGAGTCGCTGCAGGTAAAATAGGTCAGACTTGAACCCTATTATAAAGAGCTTTGAGCTTCAGGCTAAAAAGCTGAGTCTTCATCTGGTGCCCTACCGTGGCTCCCCAATTAGGGATGGAAAAAGGAGACACCTAAAAATAGAATCAAGTGAATTAGAATGTACTGAGCTCACTATTTAGATAAGAGGTGAGCTGTTCTACATTTCTAGAAAATGCCACTGGCTAAGGAGGAAGAAGTTAGAAAACACAGCTAGCCAATACGGTTTTAGACAAGCTGAATCTGATCACCACACCTGGTCTCATTCTCTCTCTGATGACCAGAAAACCTCTGACTGGGAAACTCCACAGTTCTGAGTCTTGGCTGTCTTCTCTGTCAAGGGTTTACAATATCCTGACAGAGTGGAGCCCCGGGTATCACACAGAGGTCCCACCATGTTAGCTGAGACCTAGCCATGCACAGAAAGTCTGTAAGTCTTAATATATTCTTTATCATGCTTTCTTAAAACAAGGGATACCTGTTTTGCAGTGAAGTCTGACACAAATGCAGAGTTCCCCAGGAATTTTTCCTAGTCAGTGGCTTGAAAATCCAATTCTAAATAGGGAGACAACATTATTTACAATTTTAAAAATCAAAAAAGTTCTCCTCAAGGACAAGCATTACTATTGCTTTACAGTTCTCAATGTCATGGAAATCCCATGTGGATATATGTATATATAAATTATAGTAGATACATTCAGATGTGATGGGGAGATGTAGAAAAACAAAGGGGATGAAATTACATACAGAAAAACAAAAACCTAGAGGACAACAGTACACAACATAAGATGGAACTGAATGTTACAAATTCAGAATCAGTTGGGGGGACACTAACAAAATTCCAATGGCCTCACCTCAATTAGTAAGTCATCCTCTATAGCCTCATTCTCTCTTAATTGGGTAAGTGGCAAACCTTTTGGTAGAGGCTGAGAGAAGGCCCAAAACTCAAGAGTCAAACATAGAAACATGGAAGGTCAACTCTCTCATAGAATATCCCACCCTCAGAAGGCTCCATGTTTTCAACATGGTAGAGAAATAAACCTTTTTTACTGCAAAGCCAATTAACTAGAAACAGGAGGCCTCTGTAATACTGCCAAAGGTTTAACTCTTTATTTATTTATTATTTTTATGTTATGTGTATGAGTGTAATGCCTGCATGTAGGTGGATGCACCCATGTTGTTCAATGCTTTTGAGGAGGTCAGAAGAGGGCAATGGATCCCTTGGAACTGGAGTTACAGTTAGCCACCATGTGGGTACTGGGAATTGAACCTGGGTCCTATGCAAGAGCAGCCAGTGCTCTTAACTACTGAGCCATCTCTCCAGCGCCAGTTTTAGTCTTCTTGATAACAGCAAGAAGAAGGTGTTCATACACTAGTACACTAGATGTGGTGTCAATCTATACTCCCCTATCTCTTCCACACCTGGTGTGCCACATACACTGAGCGAGGTCAAAGGAGGGAGATGCGAAAGAAAGGACTTGGCCCAGCAGAAGGTCAGGGCAGGGGATGCTTAGGACAAGTCTACTTTCAGAGGTGGAAACTGGAGTGAGGATCTTAAAGAATCCTTAGCTGGATATTCAGTATAAAACTACCTGAAGCTAATAAAATTTCATCCAGTAAGCTAGAAGTCAAAACTGCTGTATAGGACAACAGAAACCTAAACTGAGGGACCTTATTTTCTCTGTGAGACAAACAAGGCCCAAGATAAACGGATTCATTCAAACCACATGGCATGTCAAGCTGTGCCTGCAGCTAGAACCCAGACTGCCTACTCTAGCCCTGGATTAGCTTTGTAGAAGACACAAATCAACTGGTTTATTGTTGGTGAACAAATTAGAGACATAAACGGCTACAATACTGGCAGTAAGTACCAGGAAAACATGAAGTTAGAAAGCTTAAAGAAATTGGAAAGCTAACAGAATTGAAGAAATTTTCTTACTGGGAAAAATAGAACACTGAAATTAGTTCTATGATTAGAAAATTTCTTTAGAATAAGATTAAATCATAAAACATCTTGATTCTGAGATCGTCTG